GCTCGTGCATTTTGGGGCCATTTTGGTTCATCTTGGGTGCAGCCCTGGCTGGGCTCTGGTGCTGCCCAAGGTGGATCCATGGAGGAGATGCTGGGAATGAATCCCTGCTTTATTCTGGGACACTGCCCAGCCCCTGCTCCAGGGCAGCATTCACAAAGCATCACCCCCATTTCTGTGGGATCACCTCTGTCACAATCCTGCCCTGCTTTGTCATCTGTCCCCTCCCTGGTTTTCCTGCAGCCTCAACACCTTGGCTTCCCTGCAGAGAAATGGAATTTTCTCATTCCTTTATGAATTCCGAGTCCTCAAGGAGGGGATTTGCTATTCCTTTATTATTCCTATTCCTTATTCTGAAATCTTGGGGTATTTACTGAGCTGGCCTCTTGATAAATCCCTGCTTTATTCTTTAGCTCTGTTTAGTCTCTGTTCTAGGTCAGCCTTCACAAGGCATCACTCCCAGGCAGACAAAGAGCTCTGCAGTGTCCTCCTGTGTGCTCAGCCAGGATTTACACACAATGTCCTGGCACAAGGACGGCTGGATCCACACATCCCACACCTGTGATGCTCCCTGAAGGGCTGGAGCCAGGCTGGGAGAGCTGGGAATGCTCCCCTGGAGAAGGGAAGGCCCCAGGCAGAGCTCAGAGCCCCTGGCAGGGCCTGAAGGGGCTCCAGGAGAGCTGAGAGGGGCTGGGGACAGGGATGGAGGGACAGGAGCCAGGGAATGGCTCCCAGTGCCAGAGGGCAGGGATGGATGGGACATTGGGAACTGGGAATTCCTGGCTGGGCTGGGATTGCCAGAGCAGCCCCTGGATCCCTGGCAGAGCCCAAGGCCAGGCTGGAACACCCTGGGATAGTGGAAATGTCCCTGTCCCAGGCAGAGATTTGGAACCAGAAGAGCTGTAATCCCACAAGGCAAGCCCCAGTGGGATTCCCTGCTTTGCTGGGGTAACACAAAACACAGAGCACAGAGCACAAAGCCCACGCACGGTTTTGACGTCGTTGGTGCCGATGATTCCCCCGATCTCGCCCAGGTCCTTCAGCAGCAGGTTCAGGATTTCTGTGGCTCTCTTCTTCTGGTGGTTGCTGAGCTCCTGCAGCTGGCCCAGCTCCCTCTGCGTGGCCGTCAGGGCGCTCTGCAAAGGTTCAAAAACAAGAATTGTCCTCCCCACTGCAGGCTGGGCAGTTTTCAGGGGGTATTTTCCTCGTACTTCCACCTTGGCATAATCCACTTTCACAACTCGCTTGCCACCAAAGGCTACTTTGGATCTATTAAATGTAGCAAATCCGCTAAGAATCTGATTTGCATAATACATCAAAGGAGGTTAATCACAGGGAAATAGGTAGGGAGGGATAGAAAATTCAATTTTTTCCAATGGATTTCGTGGTAATCTGGTTTACTGGGGGAGATAACAAAGTCTTTAATGAAACAGATCTGTTAACAACAGCTCCTTAAGTTGGTGTAATGAATTAAGGGAAAAAGGATGCTTTAAGCTGCTAAACCAAGCTTGATTTTCCTCAGATCCCATTTTTTGCTTAAGATTCAGGCCACATCCGTGCTGAAAAAGCCGATTAATTTTTTTTTCCTCATTCCTTCCTTGAGATCCCCTGGCTCCCTGTAAAATCCCAGCTCCACAGCACAGCGTCCAGAAAAACCACAAAAACGCTGCCATTTGCACGAGGCAGATTTTCACAGCTCTCTTGGCAAAATACAGCTTTTAAATACCCAAAACACAGGATGGCCACTTCTCACATCCAGTCCCTTTGCTTGCAAGAGCCACAATCTGCCACCAACTTCCACAGAGCAGCTTCTGAATCCCCCTCAGTTTCGTTGTTTAATTGAGGCAGGGAAGAGAGGGTGACCCCAGCAGGTTTTTGGGGATGTTTGGGGTGCAAAGAGAGAACCCAAGTGTCGGATCTCAAGATCTCAGTCCTGAGATGCTGAGCCTCCGAGACCCTGGGGGGGCTCGGGACTCCTGGAATGTTGCCAGAAGTGTCTGGTGGCTGGACTTTGATCCTACACAGGAGATGACAAGGATGAGGGCTTCACAGGGAGAATGGTGAAGGGATTAGTTAATTAGAGAGTGAAACACAGGGTTTAGGATTTATGTACAGGGGGGTTTAGAGGAGTAAGATGGAGGAATTGGGGCGTGTCCTGCCCTCCTTCTTCTTCCTCTTCTCCTCCATCTTCTTTGGCCACGGTGGCACCTTTGGATTGGTTATTACTGAGAGTACACCGAGTTATAAGAATAGATGGTATTGGGGAAAAATGATAAATATTGTACACGTAACCATGGGTATAAAGATACGTGGCTGCCCGGGAGGACAGACAGTGTGCTCATGGCTGACTGCTGAGCAGATCTCTGTTCGGCTGAAAGAACATCTTTTAGATAAACAATTAATAAACATAAAAACCGAAAGAAGAACTGAAGCCTCTTCTCGTCCTTCGATACGCGGCTGCCCCAAGGCCACCCCGGGCCTTTCCAGGCCCCTCAAACAGACCAGATAAACCGGACACCCAAGAGGATGAAGAAGTTGCTCTTACACTTTTCTGTGCCAGCTCATCTGCCAGCTGCTCGTTGGTCCTGGTTTTGTCCTCCACCTCCTGGGATTTCTGGTCGTAGTTGACGGCCAGCTCCTCCAGGGCTTGGAGCACCTCCTTCACCTCATCCTTGGCCGCCTCATTCTCGATCTGCAGCCGGGTCAGCTCCTCCTGGATCTTCTCATAATCCCTCCTGGTGGAGGCCAAGAGCTGGGGAGGAACAGCACAGCAGCACTGAGTGACCCAAAAACTCCTTCAAAAGGCAATATCGACAAGGAGAAATTACAAAAGGAGGGAGGGGGAAAAAAGAGCGAGCACAAATCGTGCGTGCAGCAGGGGGAGAAATCCTGAAAGCAGCAGCAGTTCCAGCATGAAAGCATTTGAAGGAAGCACAAAGAAAAGCTCTGAACTTCAACGAGAAAAAAAATCTTCATCAAATCCTATTATGACCCAAGGCTGAGGCAGAGAAAGTGACTCTAAGCAGTGTCAGAGCTCCAAAGACATTTTCTGCCCTCAATCCAGTGCTGCAGCTCAGAGCAAAGAAAAAATCCCACAAAGTGAAATGTTTCACCAGAGGCTCAGGGCTCTGAGCTGGGCTGAGGGAAAAGGGCAGCCTCAAAGACCTCGTGGCTTCACAGAAATATTTTGATAAGCAAACCTAAGACGATTATTCTCCCTTATCATCTGCAGGATGATGCTGAGGACAGATTAGCTGCTCCTGTTTGCTGAGGGAAAATATTAATCTCAGAAGAAAATACTGACTTCACACACACACACACACACTTTAGAGAGTGCTTCCAAGCTGGAAAACTTCTTAAATTTACTGCTTGCACTGAGTAAATTCTGCTGCTGAGGTTTCGGTGATGGTGGGAGGTCACTGTCCCTTGCCCTTGAAGCAATCAAGGCTCAGTGAGATGTGAAAGCTTTGAGAATTCAGCTGTGGTGTCCTCACACAACCCCAGCCCCACCAGCAGCCCTGCACTGCAGGGCGATGTGAAAATAAATAAAAGTGACACCCAGCATTTATTGCTAATACTGCACTTTCAAGAATGATAACAAAACCAGGGCTTGACACGGCATGACAGCATCAGAGAGGGAATTACAACGGATAAAAGCAGTGCAGGAGATGTGGGAGGGCCTCATGCTCATCCTAACAGCAAAGTTTGGGGTGTTCATTCACAGAATTCATTCCTTCCCAAGAAATCTGAATTATGGATTGGTATAACATTGCAGACAGTGGAATAAAACCTTCCCTGCTGAAGTGTTTTGGGTGGGTTTCTCCTGATCTGCCCACCCAGCAGATGACACCCCCAGAAACAAAAAACCCCACATTTCTGTCAGGCAGAACACCCAAAAAGCAGAATGTCCCAGAAGAAATGGCTTTTTCTTTTTGGCTCAGAGTGTCTGTGGAAAATAGGAAAGCAGGCAGGCAGCTCTGGAGGCTGGCACGTGCCCAGGGAGGACTCAGATGTGAGGGAAATTCATCTCCCTGGTAATGCTGCAGCCTCACAAGCGCACTCACGTTACGGAAAAAAAGCCATTGCATTGCCAGAGCCAGATGGCATGTAAATATTTAAACAACAAAATAGCTTCAAATCATCCTCCTGCTAAACACAGATGGAGATATTATTTACATTTACTGCAGAAATTTTCTGCGTGGCTTCAGGGAGTGGTGGGCATCACCTGCAGCGTAAACAAGGAGATTCTGGGTGATATGGTGTGGAAAAATGGAGCAAGCTTCTCAAAAGGCACCAAAAAAACATGATAAGGGTGAGCTGTAAATAAGGGAAAAGGCCCATGGCTGCAGCGCTCCATGGAATATCCCAAATCCCCCAAAACACCCACCTGAAGCAGCAGCCAGAGGTGAAAAGGCACCAAAAACCCCCCTAAAATCAGCCTCATCTGCAGCAGGTTTATAATTAACCTGCTGGCTTAATCAAGCAGAAATGAGGGCTGGTTAATTAGGGGGAGCAGAGTGAGGCAGCTGCTGGTGGATCAGTGAGCTCATCACCTCTCCAGGGACAGCTGATGTGGGGAAAACCACCTTGAATAATAAAATATCACCCTTGAATAATAAAATATCGCCTTTGAATAATAAAATATCACCCTTGAATAATAAAATATCACCTTTGAATAATAAAATATCGCCTTTGAATAATAAAATGTCACCTTCTCCTCCCAAGGTAAGAGCAAAGGACCAGGCAGAAAAAGGCTCTGAGCAGCACCAGCTGCAGAGAGTTTGGAATTTGGCAAAGCTGGACTGGGAACGTGCAAAAAAAGGGGAAAATGGGCACTGAAAAGCTGATTGATCCTCCAGAGGTGGCACTGGAACAGGGAGGGTGAGGAAAAATTCAGGAGGGATGCACAGCACCCAAAAACCAAGGTGTGGGGGAAAATCCAAATCCACAGATGTGGGGGAAAATCAGTCTCAGGTGAGAAAAGGGATGTGAAAAAAATGGGAGAAGTGAGGTGACACAAATAAACTCATAATACACATCAGGAAATAATTAATTAAAATAAATAAATAAATAAATAAATAAATGAAATAATAAGAATATAACAATATAGTATTATATAATAACATAATATACATTGATGTTATTATATAATAACAACTATTATATATGACACACAATTCATATTTATTATATTCTATAAATATATAATAATATACTTCAAGTGTGTTATTATTATGCACTTGAAAATAATAATAACAATAACAATAATAATAACAATAACAACAACAACAACAATAATAATAATAATAATAATAATAATAATAATAATAATAATAAGTAGCAGTAGTAGTAGTAGTACTATTATTATTATTTTGTAACCCCAGCACAGGGCAATCAAATCAAGAGAATTAGGAACTTCATCATAAAATAAAATTTTAAAGAATTAAAGTAAAATAAAATAAAATAAAATAAAATAAAATAAAATAAAATAAAATAAAATAAAATAAAATAAAATAAAATAAAATAAAATAATAGAGATTCCCCCAGCCAGGACAAGTCTGCAGAGGGGGCAGGTGAACCCTGAGTGATGAATACCAGACATGTTCATAAATTGTTTTTATTCCTCTAATAACACCTTGGAAACCTTTTCTGAGGGCCTGGATGCACAAAAAAAGCAATTCCTGAGAAAGATCACAGCAACACTTGGGGAATTTGCTGTTATTGCCTCATTTTGCATCCTCAGAATTGCTCATAGAAGGGAATGGCTTGAGTGAGTTTAGTGCTCACGTTCTGCATCCCAAACCCAACAAAAATTCATTTCAGGGACAGAAACGATGCAATCAAAGTGAGCAATCCAAGATTTCACAGCAAATCTGGGGCAGCACCAATTATCAGGTTTTTCCGTCTCACAGATTGCTGTCTCTAATGGCCAAAATAATGATAATTAATGATTTAATATCAGGAAATCTCTGCCTGTGGTCCATCGTGCCTGGGCACCTGAATGGGCACACACACATCAAAAATCACATTTGGAGTGAAAAATCCTGGCCCCACTCCTACCTTGGACCTCCAGCATCACTTCCCAGCAGGGGGAATTGTTATTTCGAGGACTTTTATCAAGGCTCAATGAGAATATTATGAAATTTCAAGTTTAAGCCTGGCTGACACCTGAATTTTCCACTTGAATTTCAGCCAGTTAATATGAACAGCTGGGACAGAATCACTAAACAAGGGGCTCAGGAGCAAAATGTAAAGGGATTTTTTTTTTAGGCTGGTTTATTTATTTTAGTTCCTTACCTCCTCTTGATCCAACATTTGCTGCTTTAATTTTTCAGCCAACTGGCTCTGCTGGTTGATTTCATCATCCTGCAATGAAACAGGGGTGGAGATTTTTAATTCCTTTTCACAGCTCTCATTCGATCACCTTTTATTTCCTCTTTCTAGGAAAAGAAAGGGGAATAAAACTTTGTGCATGTTTGAGTGACATGAGGGGAGAGAAAAATAAATATACATGAATAAATACACCAGAAATAAAATAAATAAATATACACAGAGCTCTGCTGTAAAAGCTGCTAAAAATATAAATTATATTTTGGTTGGGAATCCCTTTGTTTATAAATCCCTTTTGGTATAAATTATATTTTGGGTTGGGAATCCCTTTGTTTGGGATCAAATATCTTCTCATTTCCTACAGTCCTGTCTCAAATTATGCTTCCCATGTTTTCTAGGGAAAAACTCAAACCTGCTCCAATTCCCTCTGGAATAATTTACTGGGCTTTCCTGCTTTTGATGAGGAAAGTGAAACAATGCCTGATTTTTTTTTTTTCCTTTTACTTATCAATATGGAAAAGCTGGAGATTGCAATCAGAGAAAAAATTTCATTTCTTACAGAAAACTGTTCTTTTCAGTGCCACCAGACAGTGCAAGGAGACCAAAATTCAGATTTAAACACAATTTTTCTGCGTCCACAAACAGCCAAACCTCACTATTAACAGGCAAGGACACACTGGGCTTTTTGCTGCTATTTTCCTGCTAATTACAACTGAATTTTAAAATTGGCTATTGATTCATGATGAGAGCTGAATGCTGTTAATTTTTTAATGCTGCTCTCATCCAGGGTGGTGAATGGGCTTTTTCTGGGCCTTTTTTCCCTTCCACTTTTCATCTTCCCACAAGCCAAAGCTCTTAATGGCTGGAGAAGGGAATTGCTGAGAGCTTTAAGTGCCATTGGTGTCCCTCAAAGAAATAAACAGATAAATGTGAAAAGAAATAAACAGATAAATGTGCAAAGAAATAAACAGATAAATGTGAAAAGAAAATAAACAGATAAATGTGCAAAGAAATAAACAGATAAATGAGCCCTCTGGGCTAGAATTTAAAGGAAAATACATCCACAACACAAACAAAAGGTTGTGGATGTATTTTCCTTTAAATTTTAGGATTTTTTTCCTTCCCTGGTGATTCCAAGATGACATTACAGTTTGCTAAGGGATTTTGCACAAATCACGGAAGAAAAGGGAAAGTCTGGACTTCAAACTATCAGAATCTGATTGTTTTCTGATATCAGAAATATCTGATTTTCTGGAGAGTGATCCCAAACATTGTCTGCACAGGGAAAGGGGGTGGAGAGCCTACGGGATCTGCTTTTGTGCAGTATTTGGAATTTTCCAACGTTTTCCAATTCACAATAGAAACAGAAGCAATAATACACAAATGGAGCAATAAATAAATAGAGCAATAAATAAATAGAGCAAAATTACAAAAATAGAATAAATAGAGCAAAACCACAAAAATTTTGGCAAGAATTATCCATTTCCACCTGGAATCCAACACTCCCCCATGGAATCCAACATTCCCTCATGGAATCCAACATTCCCCAATGGAATCCAACATTTTCCCCTGGGATCCAACATTCCCACCCTGGAATCCAACATTCCCACCTAGAATCCAACATTCCCTCATGGAATCCAACATCCCCACCTTGGAATCCAACATTCCCCCATGGAATCCAACATCCCCACCTTGGAATCCAGTATTCCCTCATGGAATACAACATTCCTCCCTGGGATCCAACATTCCCCCATGGAATCCAACATTCCCACCTGGAATCCAACATTTCCTCATGGAATCCAACATTCCCCAATGGAATCCAACGTTTCCACCTTGGAATCCAACATTTCCACCTGGGATCCAACATTCCCCAATGGAATCCAACATTCCCCCATGGAATCCAACATTACCCCGTGGAATCCAACATTACCCCGTGGAATCCAACATTCCCCCGTGGAATCCAACATTCCCCCCGGATCTAGCATTCCCCCCTGGGATCCAACATTCCATAATGGAATCCAACATTCCCCCCTGGGATCCAACATTCCCCCCTGGGATCCAACATTCCCCAATGCAATCCAACATTCCCCAATGCAATCCAACATTCCATACTGGAATTCAACATTCCATACTGGAATCCAACATTTCCACCTGGAATGCAACATTCCATACTGGAATTCAACATTTCCACCTTGGAATCCAACATTCCCCCATGGAATCCAACATTCCCCCATGGAATCCAACATTCCCCAATGCAATCTAACATTCCATACTGGAATCCAACATCCCCACCTGGAATCCAACGTTTCCACCTTGGAATCCAACATTCCCCCGTGGAATCCAACATTCCCCCATGGAATCCAACATTTCCCCATGGAAACCAACATTTCCACCTGGTATCCAACATTCCCCCATGGGATCCAACTTTCCCCCACCTTGGAATCCAACATTCCCTCATGGAATCCAACATTCCCCCATGGAATCCAACGTTTCCCCCAGGAATCCAACATTCCATACTGGAATCCAACATTTCCACCTTGGAATCCAACATTTCCACCTGGAATGCAACATTCTCATCCAGAATCCAACAGTCCCACCCGGGATCCAACATTCCCCCCTGGGATCCAACATTCCCCCATGGAATCCAACATTTCCACATGGAATCCAACATTTCCACATGGAATCCAACACTCCCACCTAGAATCCAACATTCCAACCTTGGAATCCAACA